CAATTACAGTATTTTTTGTCTATATCAAAAATAAGTTGACAAGGGGCTGAGGATTACAACTAGGAGCACATTTTTTAGGTTATAGAAAATGAACATTATAGCTGAGAATACATGACACTCATATTTGAGTTGCAATAAATTTCCCTGCCCTTGAAGATGAGCACTTTCTCTAAATCAGTATTATATTCTTTGTATAATAAACATATGTAGTATTAAACTAAATTGTGAAATGCATTACTACCATCAAGGCCTTATAACGTTGAACCAGCACTCGTGTAAACATTACCATTGACTAATTACTGGTTGGAGGTAGTGCAGTGTAGGAGCATTCAAATTACAGTACCAATTAAATCTTGACTAATTACTGGTGTGAGGTAGAATGGAGTAGGAACACAAACTACAGTACCACTTAAAACTGACGAATGTACTAGTGCTCTAGATGATTCCTACTTCTAAATTCAAGACTTCTGACAAAAATTTCCTTGCTTGTACAGTACTTTCCCAATTTATATATTCTGGGTTTTGGGTGTATTGTATTCCAGTACATTACTTTTTAGCATTTTCTATATTTTTAAATCTTAAAACATTCTTTTTGCCTGTATAATAAATCATTGCATGTTTATATAGATGTGACAGGCTCAGTAGAAATTATGCTCAAGTGTATTAATTGATTATTTATCTTAATTTTTTACAAAAAAAAAAAAAAAAAAGTGAAAATTTTGCAAAACCACTTGAGAAGTTCTTTGAACATGTCACATGGGTAGCTTTTATATTAGTTTCAGATACTGATTATATAGATCTTCCCTTGGCTGTAATCATCCATAAAGTGTATTTTGTGTGTGCGTGTGTGTGCGTGCGTGCATGTGTGTGTGTGTGTGTGTGTGCATTGTCCTCTGATTCTATGTAAGTATGACATAATCTATAATTACAATAAAGTAAGAATTGACTTTCAATAATAATATCAGGCTCACTGTAAAGAAAGAGACAAAAAAGTGATCATACTGGTGTAAAGAATACCTCTTGTAAATATTATGGTAGCTAAAAAATGGAGCAAGGATGAAGTATTGTAGCTTCTTCTAATTGCATTTATCCCAAAAAATTGAACTAGAAATGGAGCAAGACAGGTAAAGTTAGATGAGAAATGCATGTGTTTGCTGTAACTGTGGAATGAAACTTTCTGGACAGGGACACCACCAATTCTACAGTGCCAACACTTGGCAATTCACATAAAACATCTTTCTTTCCAGGGCAAATTATTATTTTAATGAAGGGGAAGCACTAAACCTATATGAATCATACAGTGCATGGGAAATGGGAGGCAGTTGAGTTTGATCCAAGGAAGGGGAGGATAGATCCACTTCCTTGGATCATGAGGGGTGCATGGTAAAGTATGCAAAATTTAATATTTTATACTGATACTATTTTTAGACATATTATTTCTGATGTATCAAACGTGCAAGGTGATGATTACCGAAATATCTTTAATTTTACAACAAAAAGTGCTTCTGTTTTAAATGTAAAATATATAGTAAATGTATTTTTATGTAAAACATACTGTAAATATTTTGGTGGGTTGATCACTGGGCCACAAAGCAAGATTTATTAATACCTTAAAATTAATACAGATGTAGTGAATTGATAAAATAATAATAGAAAATATATTTCAAAAAGACCTAACAAAGAATAGTCACAATACTGCCACTGGAGCATTTTACAAATAACCTGCACTTAGGAGAGTAAAGGACAAAAAAGGGCTACTTTATCTCCTTATACCAGTGATGTCTGTCTTGATCTTACTTACCTGGTGTGGGCTTTTAACTTTTCCTTTTAAGGTAAATTTTACTCTCAAACCTATAGTATTGGTATGGCCTCTCTATCCCCTGTTCTTGCTAATCATTGCATAGAGTATTTCAAAACTGTTGTACTTTCTACAATTCATATATGTCGTGTAGATATCTTTGCTCTTGGGACATATTACTAAGTCTCTTCCAGCCTTTTCTTGATGCCTTTAACAATCTTCCTCCTGTCAAGTTCAAAGGAGAATGAGAATCCAACTCACTGCTTCCTTTCCTTAATGTTCATGTCTACTATTCTGAGAGTCATTTTTTTTTTTTTTTTTTTACCTCAAGACAATGTATAGTGACATGTACATTCTGCTCTTCATACCATGCTCCATCTGTGTTTTGTTTGTTGCTTTCTCTATGCCTTCTGCATCTGCAACCCTCAATTTCTAGACCCTGAAATTTTCAGTCTTCACAGCTCATTTTCTCACCTGACAATCCTGCTGATTGTCAGGTGAGAAAATCTTTTCTTTGCCTTCCTTAAATATCTGCTCTTGAAAATTTTAACTACACCCTCCATATTTCTCTTGTCACTGATGCTTTTAGTCCTCTCTTCTTCAGTACTTTGGTAAAATCAGTTACTCTGACAAATTTAATTATTATTATTATTATAATCAAAAAGAAGCACTAAGCCACAAGGGATGACAAATTTAATGAGCAGGAAAAAGTGTTTGCCTTGTTGATACCAACAATGCTCTTTCTTGTCATGTTAGATTGTGGCTTAGCGCTTCTTTTTGATTATAATAATAATAATTGTCATGTTAGAAATCACAACCATCCTTTTAACAGGTCCTGTGCTTAAATTATCTTTCCTTCTAGCCTTCACATATGCCATCTTATCAATCAGTCCTTGTACACAACTTTTCTTATGTGAATCTTTATCCTGGTTTTGCCTCTGTAGATGCCTACCATTTTTTGATACATTGTCAAATGTTCTAATCTTCAGGACACTTGTGACTTGACCTGATCTTTGCTTCCTCATCTCCTTTCCTCTTGACCTGTCTTCTGTAATTTATTCTAGATACTCTATCCCTTGTTCCAGGAAAGTTTTATCTGGGTGGCTTTTAGTCATAATAGATTATGTCCAGTGGGATTTTACCTTATTCTCATCGGCCAGTGGGTCTCCTACTGTGCTCCTCTTTTCTCTTCTTATATACTGTAGTACTACTACTGCCTCTCCACTGCACTCACTCCTATTACTTCTACCATGAGTACCACCACTACTGCTACTACTATTACTACTGCTGCTAATTCTTCTACCAATACTACCTTTCTCTCTCTATCTTCTGACCTTCTCTGCCTTTCTTCCACAGGTGTGGGCTGACAATGGCCCAGGATGGCCTGAAACTTCATAAGTTTCCTCTCCTGTGTTCAGATTATTTGTGGAAAGATCTTAACAAGGTTTTCCATTGATGAATAAGACACTTGAAACACTTGGGTATCTTTATTGTTGAAATGTTTTGCCTAGACAGCAAGCTTTTTAATCAAATACAGAGGCAGTGTTTATACTGAAGACAGTGAAAGGAGTGGAAAGATAATTTTAAGGTTTTCAGTTCCTTAGCCTTGATCAAGGCCAAGGGATTGAACACCTTAAATATGGCCAACTGATATGGGAACTTGACAATTCTCAAAGTGCCTCTCCACAAGGATACCTTTGAGTGAAACGTGTGTGCCCGATGCAAAGATGGGAGAGCGTAGTTTCCCAATTGCATCAGTGATAAGACCAGGAACCTAAACACAGCTTGATAGAATATGATTTGTTATGAATCAACTCAGAACAACATTGTTGCAAAGGTGGCTAGAGATTACAGCAAAACAGTAAGAATGGAATACCCCTATATGAAACGTGGAGGTCATGTACAGCAGCAGAGTCTGCCTCTTCGTTGCCCTGAACATTCACATGACCAGGGACCCAGCAGAAAATGATATCTTAGGTTGCACTGCATTTCTAGCAAAAACAAAGTTGTATACAAAGAGCTAAGGGATGAGGAAAATTAAATTTTTTGATAGTCTACAAGGCACTAAAGGAGTCAAACTGAATGTTGTGGTAGGGCTGGATACAATACATATAATTGTGGTGAGAATTGTGTACAGTTCATTATTATTATTATAATCAAGGGGGAAGCGCTAAACCCGGAGGATTATACAGCGCCTGGGGGGGGGATGTGGAAGGCATTCAGGCTTAATTCGGGGAACTGGAGCACAGATCCAATTCCCTAAATCAAGAGCCCCTCACCAACATCAAGGAACCTTCCTTGAGGGGTGTGTACAGTTCAGCTGTGAAAAATGCCAGCCAAGTTTAATAAATGATCTCACATAAGTGTCTGTGAACATCAGTGTAAATTGCAACAGCATAATTGAGCAATAGAGCTAGGCCTAAAAAATACATGTACAGTACACACATTACTTATTTAAAATATTTTTGTCTTTATATTCATCGCTCGCTATATTTATTGTAAGAAGTCTGAATAAACGAAGATTGGGTATAAATGAAAACTGCTGCATTAGCAAAATGCCATAAATCAAAGAACTAAAGTGGGGCCTACCTGTATAGGGCGAAAGTGAAAAAGTAAATTAAGGGATGTCATTAGCGTAAATACAAGGATTAAAGGAACATAGTTATTGGAATTGACAAATTAGTCTTACTAATGTAAAGTAACCTCTGTATTAGATTTAAAAAAAAAAAAGCCTTCTGCACAGGTGAAAAGTTTTTGGCAATAAAGGTACCCAAGCATTGCACACTATTATTCACCAATTTGTCAATATTGTAAACCATTATGTATGATTTTCTACTGAACCGATAATGCATGATATTTTAGTAAAGTAGCGGTCTAAATATCTAGGATCTGACTCGACCATGACATGACTGTATATGTATGTGCTTACCTAATGTATATGGATGTATGTGTACATATGTACAGTATAAGGGTGCACGTGTGTGCAAGCAGTGTTAATAATATCATTTACAGGTAAATGGACATTATATCATGCAAATGTTAGTATACTAATATGCATACAGTACTGTGTGGTTCTTGATTGCACATCCTTTTATAAAATTGCCTACTTTGTCATATATAGCACAGTTTAATTGCCTCTTTTTTTTAACTTTGAGTTTAATATTTAGCTTAAGTTATATGTTTGATACTTTTCTGTTGGCAGCGTCGTGAAGTTGAGAGAGAGAAGCGTGCCAAGGAACGCAGCACACGAGTTGCCAATAATGGTCAACCTAATGCAGGAGATAGCAGCTCAGGTGGTGAAAATGAAAATGACTTTGATGACCTCATCTCTGCTCTTCGCTCTGGGGATGTTTTTGGAAAGGACATTGACAAGATGAGACGGAAAAAGAAACACACTTTTAATTCTGCATCGAGGGAAAGAGAGCGAGAAAGAATAATTGGGTCTCACAAATATGCTTAAAAAAAATGTGATGTAAGTGTTATCATATTTTATTAGTGCTTTACAATGAGTAAAGGAATGTAAATAAGGCCTTGCTAACAGGCACCACTTTCAGGATATAATGGCTCGTTACATATATCACTGCCAGCTCATTCTTCAGATTACTGTTGCTAGAGTTTGCTAGATAAATTTAATGGACGAGCCAAGACCAGAGGAAACTTTAAATATCTGTAACACTGCTCGAACATTTTCTCCACGTTGAAATTTTGTCGGTCACAATTATATACACATTCCTATTGTTTCATGTTTTGCTTATGCTCTTTCTAAATTCACAAACACCTTTAAATGCATAAACTATGAATAGTTCCTACATATTCAAAGTATATGACAAAGCATGAAAAAGTGGGGTTTTCACTGTATTGTTTGTTAGTATTGTATAATTTGTGGAAGTAGTGTACTATGTGGTTCACTGTATTGTTTAAATCTCCTTTCATAAGGAAAGAATATGGGAAAATTGTATAATGGTAAGTTAAACCCCTGGATTATATCTGGTTGGGTTAACACACTTATAAAATGAGCCCATCCAGTTGAATCTGAATGCATTCATGGAATCACATTGTGTAAATGAATGTAATAGTGTGATAAATTTCTCCTGATTATTAGGTGACCATTATAAACCTTAAGGAATTACAATAGTTCCAGATAATCACAATGTAACAGGTGCTGTTGGAGAGGAGTGATAGGCATAAAATTGTCTTGAACACTTAACAAATGAGTAATAATCATAATGGTGATTGTTACTAATGAATGATCCCACTGCCACACATACAACTCTGGAGAGTTTAAACTATATTAGTTAAATAACTCATTACCTGACAAGCAAGATTTTTATTGATTTAACATCTTGCTAGTTATTTTTTCTATAGAGTAACCTTCAATATTTAGAGATTTGTAAGGTCGACTCTGTAGATCTCAGATTTTTTTACATATATAAAAGTAGAACATCATGTTTTGCTCATTATTTTTATGTGAATGATTTTAGCAGAATTCTGATATAATTAGCATAAGTTCAGAAAATACAAAATGTTTGATTATGTATAAAGTTTTAGCAAAGTACCTACCTATAAAAAAAATAATTGTGGAACTAGGTATTTGTGAATTTCTGTGATATTTTTATAATTTATCATTTGCTATGACAGTTGCTGAATAATGCATTTATATGGTTATAGCTTTTCATTTCAGAAATTTAGGTGAGCTAGTCACATGTAATGTGATAATTCAGTGTGGTTTTGAGCCTTTGCCCAGATGAGGTTTACTCACTACAAAATTACTGCCTCACTGTATTGCAGTACTTGGATCTTTATTATTTTTATAATCATGGGAAAACACTAAGTCATAGAATATGTATTTGGGGAATGAATGACTGAGTAATCAGGTGATAAGGCTAGTTCCAATTCCTTAGATTACGAGTCCTTCAACATTAAGGTGACCCCTCTTTGAAGGTATCTGGATTTACAGTACTGTATTTTGCAGTAAGTCAATCTCATCCCCACACTTATGTTATGTCCTTGGTAAATATAGCACCATGAAAAGTTGTTTGAATGTTAAGTCTACTTGTACAACAGAGCCTTTGTTAATACTGTACAGGATGTACATGAAGTCTTTTATGTAAAAAATAATGAAAATGCAGTTTTCTGCTGTGATAGTTGAATTGAGTATTTTTACAGCTTTACTGTTGTTGAATCTATGCAACCTTGACATATCCACCTGTAGTGGCCCCTAGCCTATCAGAATTCATGTCAATACTCTCTGCCACTGCAATATGCTTAATTTTACTGAAAGTTCAACTTTGATATTTCTAGCATTTAGTCAGCTAATGGCATCTGGAAAACAAGCCCCCACAAGTCTAGAGACATGATATCAGGATAGTGTGGGGGGAGGGGGACCACCATACCCAGTTAACCTGCCAGGGCACTTTAACGTTTTGAGTATGCTATCGTATACAGATAACTGCATTTTTGTAATACTTGGTTGAAATTTGAAAAAGACTGGACACCCTGTATTCTATCAACACTACTAAGTATCGGATTTTTCAACATACGTATAAACCTAATTATGATCTTTAATTTATAAATCAAAACTGCTATATTCAAGAGCCAGCTCATAAAAAAATTATATATATATTAATCTCACACACACACACATTGTATATATATAGGATATTCACTTTTTTTTACTCTTCTTTCTTTCAGTATTGCATTTATGAACTTATTTTCTATATACGTAATATATAATCGGCCAAATTTACTAAATTTGTGTACAGTATATGTAAGATAATTTTGATAATTTTTGATGGCCTGTCTTCTAGGAAATACAAGTCATGCATAAACAGAGTAATGCATCCAACAGTAGTCCTGGTTTTGTAAATAATCAGCTGACATTTACCCGCTTTGTACTACAGTGGTTTTACGTAAAATTAAATATGTACAAAATTTTCATGTTCTGTGTTGGGGCTGTAGTTTCATAGATTCACTATATTTGGTTAATATATTTTTTTTTTCCAAATTATGAATATTCAAACATAAAGCTAGCATAAACCACCTACAGTCGAGTCATATGGTTAATAACAATAAAAAAAGGGGAAAAAGAAAAATATTTATGAATATTTTAGTTTCCCATTATTTAATGTACAGTATTTCTATACCAGGATATGCTGAAATATCCAAATAAAAATGGACCTGAAACATTTAGGTTATTTTATAAACAGCACCTCCATGACAGGAGAGGGGAATGATTTTTCCCTAATACAATAACTAATTTCAGATAATTGTAAAAGAAATACAGTGGACTCCCGCTTAACGATCACCTCCCAATGCGACCATTTATGTAAGTGCGTTTGTACGTGTATGCTGGGGGTCTGAAATAGACTAATCTACTTCACAATATTCCTTATGGGAACAAATTCGGTCATTACTGGCACCTGAACATACTTCTGGAATGAAAAAATATCGTTAACCGGGGATCCACTGTACTGGCTGTGGTTGGTGACTAATAGTTATATACTAATACTGTACAAGCAAATGCATTAACCCTTAAAGTGCCGTGAGCTAAAAATAATGGCCTAGCGTGTGATCTGTTAAATTTGGGTAAAAAATTCTCTTAAAACTGAAGAGATTATTTTTCTGGTAGCAATAAAACAAACAGTTGAAACACAAGCGATACTTGTAATTATGCATCTGCAAAGTTAGCATTTTTGGCACTTGGTTTAGCAACACTGGATACTGCTGCCATATGCATAATAATGCAGTTTTTTTTTTTCCAACTTTTTCTTCAATATATGTAAATTTACGGTTACACTAATATTAAGTAGAACTGTAATCTTCATGGATAATGGCAGTTACTTCAGTTACTGTGTAAAAACAGTGATTCAAATCACACAAACATTGTCATATTCACTCAAAACAGTTTCATTTATAGTGTTCTATTAGATATACATACATGTGTATTTACAGGTGCAGGTGATGTTCTTAGAAGTGTTGTAGTGTGTGAAGATCTTTGAAACCTGGCATTAGCCAGTGGTATTTTACACTGCTCACACACGTATTGAATGTCTGCTTATTTGCTCTCTTAGTGTGGTGTGAAAATAGATGTAACATCTATCTGAATATTTTTTCTTTTTATTAGCAAGGAATACTGTGGGAAAGTGATTACCGTTAAACAAGATGGTAACTGGCCGTCTTTAAGGTGATGGTGCTGTGCAGGATTTGTTACAGTGGACCCCCGGTTTACGATATTATTTCATTCCAGAAGTGTGTTCAGGTGCCAGTACTGAACTAATTTGTTCCCATAAGGAATATTGTGAATTAGATTAGTCCATTTTTGATCCCCAAACATACACGTACAAATTTTTTTTTTTTTTTTTTTTTTTTTTCAACAAGTCGGCCGTCTCCCACCGAGGCAGGGTGACCCAAAAAAGAAAGAAAATCCCCAAAAAGAAAATACTTTCATCATCATTCAACACTTTCACCACACTCGCACATTATCACTGTTTTTGCAGAGGTGCTCAGAATACAACAGTCTAGAAGCATAAACATATAAAGATACACAACATATCCCTCCAAACTGCACTTACATAAATACACTTACATAATTGGTCGCATTGGGAGCTGATCGTAAACTGGGGGTCCACTGTATTTGTCTTATGACTGACAAGCTGAAATCAGGATGCATGGATCTATTCTCAGTTTTCACTTAGTAGGCATTTAGTATTGCAGTGTCCAAGGTGAAACAATAGTTTTATGTACCACTTGCAACTCTTCTGCACAGTCAACATAACCAATGTGCATAACATTTGTCTACTAAATGCACATTGTGTGTAATCAGTTACAACAGCGAGTTTCACAATTGTTGTATTGGTTTCTCTGTTGACTCTACTTGTTTCTTTCATTTCATGAAGATGAATGGTGGTCAACAATTCATCTGTCATGCCAATGTAATGACATATAATTTGTATGAAATGCTTACACCACCTTCACTTGTACCTGCACTGAACTTGGGTGTATGTTACGTGGTTTCTTGTTCTATGCAGTACACCATGCACATCAATATTGTTCATTTGCAAAAAAAAAAAAAAAATCACTGAGTATTAAGGTCTTGTGCAACAATTGTGCATATAATTTATGGCCTTTACCATAATACGGTTCCATCAATTTCCTCATATCACATGAAATGCCTAATAACTTGCACATGTCTCCATGCTTGTGTAAACAATCACATATCATGAATAACTTGATACCAAAGCGATATCTTTTGCTCAGTACAAATTATTTGAAAGATGATTTTTCCAGAGATGTACGATCTAAGAATCATCGTTTTCATACCTCTTATGATTTGTTCTAGTGTCACTATCAGCTACTTTCTTCTCAAAACTATAAATATCCACAACAGTATCACCATCCTCAGTGTCAGTCATTTTGGGGAAATAAAATAACATCAGTTTTCCTTGGACTGCAGTACTGGTGTTTCTATGATCAATAAATGCAGAGCAACATGTGATTCCCACAGTGCACCTGGCAGGCTGATTTTTTTTTGTTCTACTGTGCAGATCACTCATGCTTCTCACACCGGATTTGAAGACAGGCATATGATGCTAATTCTCATCAAGATGCGAATTGATATTATCGGCACTTTAAGGGTTAAACAAGGTTGGTCACCTCTGCTGAATAGGCTATTAGTTCACCAAGGTTACAAAACCAACAATTTTTGCTTAAATTTTCCCCACATTACAGCATTACATGATAACATCAAATACAAGATTTGATTTCAGATTCATTAATGTAAATATTTTGTTCCTCTAATATTTCCTTAGTTAATCCTGTATTTCTTGCATAATGAGGCTTTCAAATTGTGATTGTCATCAAAAAATATAAAAGATGTTTAAAGTACTGTATGTTTGGCAGGAAAAAAATTATATATATACATGTTCTCACTCCTCAACCTAAGAATGTAGTTGTCACATGCATTTAGTGCAAAAATTTGCAATGGTGAACATTCTAAATTATTTTTTTTTTTTTTTCTTAAAATTAACTGGACAAATTCCTTGAATTATATTTGTATATTGTTTAGGTTGACATTTACTTTCTTTAAACAGCTTCCCATGGTACATTAGACATACAGCAAACAGATATATACTGTAATTACCATATAGATGCTTACAGACTTTTCTGCTCCTCTGAGGAAGGCAAAAGTCAATTACTGGAATAACTTCACACTGTTAATGCATTCAAGTGATAAAAAAGTATTACTAAAACATTTTAAGATACGTGCTATAGCTATTTATATAAAAAAAAAAAAAAATTAGCAAGATTACACAGTTAATGTTGTGTAATCTTGCTACTTTTTGGAAAGTGTTTATCAATTCATAGCTTAACTTGTTTTGTGATTTCACAATCTGACCTTATCTGTTCTGACCCGGCAAAACCTTAGGACACTCATAATCCACTGTATGGTTATTAAATCTGCAGTTTTAGTGCAGTTCCATGATTACATTATCATTTGGATTAAGCAGTTTGAGCAATTATAAACATATGTATCCAAATGTGCATGGTAATTACTGTATTCATGTACATACACTAGTATTAATGGGAAAGTAATATAAACAAACATGCCCATATATATGATGACCACAACACTAAGTATACCATATACATATGTAGCATTAAAAATATAATCATCACAGAATAGTTTTATTTTTATCTGAAAACAGTGTCCACTATACATTTATGCTGCATCTTCATATACATTCAGACCACCAAACCCATGCAGCACCAGGGAAAGGGTGGTAATCATATCTGGTCTAAGGAAAGGGAGAGTGGCTCCAAGTCCTTGGATCAAGTGGTCTTCACCAGCATAAAGGCACTTCCCTTGAAGTGTCTGGGTCTTTGATATTACATTATGGTAAGTGCTCATATTGCAATAATTTCATTTCAGCACAAATTTATAAGTCTATAATAAATTATGGATAGTTATCAATTAGTGTTTAGTAATACATGAAGCAGAACAGATAAGGTTTAACTTTGCACAACAAACACACGTTTTTTTTTTTTGAGCCATAAGGACATCAATGTCTCAATTGTGGAGTACCTAGTTAACAAAATCCATCACTATTCTACAGGACTAACATGGACCTTAAACTTAACAATTTTAACAGTATTTCCATGCCTGCCTCCATGTTGTATGTGTATAAATAAAAAGATAATATATTTTAACACATCAGCCATCTCCTGCTAAGGCAGGAGATGGCTGTAAAAAGAAATGCTTGTTTTTCTTTTTGGGTCACCCTGTTTTGATGGGATACAGCCAGTATGTAAAAAAAAAAAATATACGTATATATATATATATATATATATATTATATATATATATATATTATATATATATATATATATTATATATATATATATATTATATATATATATATATATTATATATATATATATATATATATATATATATATATATATATATATATATATTTATATATATATATATATATTATATATATATATATATATATATATATTATATATATATATATATATATTATATATATATATATATATATATATTATATATATATATATTATATATATATATATATATATATATATATATATATATATATATATATATATATATATATATATATATATATATATATATATATATATACATACTGGCCGTCTCCCACCAAGGCAGAGTGACCAAAAAAAGAGCCACTTTCACCATCATACCCTATCATTGTCTTGCCAGAGGTGCACCAATAATACAGTTCGGATGCCCCTCCAAACTGCAAATATCCCCACCCCTTTTTCAGAGTGCAAGCACTGTACTTCCCACCTCCAGGACTCTTGTTTAGCTAAACAGTTTCCCTGAATCCCTTCATAAGAAAGAAGGAACACTGCAGCAGGCCTACTGGCCCATGCAAGGCAGGTCCAAGTCTCCTACCAGCTTAAGCCAATGACCCAACCTAGTCAGGTCAAATCACATCCACTTAAGGAAGGAGCATGGCATCAGACCTACCAACACAAGCTAGTCAGGTCTAAAGCACACCCACTCGTGTATTTATCCAACACATTTTTTAAACTACACAATATCTTAGCTTCATAAACGTTACTTTGCTCACACTCCAACAGTGTGTCGAGTCATGAAAACCACTTGCTTCCACTTCTATCTAACATGCTCACACGCATACCGGATATCCAAGCCCCTTGCAGCAAAACACTCCTTTACCCCCTCCCTCCACCACAGATTTATACAGCCTCCAAGTCATCCTATTTTGCTCCATCCTCTCTAAATGTCCAAACCACCTCAACAATCCCTCATTATTATTATTATAATCAAAAAGAAGCGCTAAGCCAAATCCCTCCTCAGCCCTCTGGATAATGCTTTTCACCTAACCTCGAACTACGAATTCTCTTCATAATATTTACACCACGCATTGCCCTCAGGGAAAGGATGGTTGGGTAGGGGTTCTCCTAGTAATGGTTGGAGGGAAGGGGTAAGGGAGGTTTTGTGGGCAAGGGGCTTGAACTTCCAGCAAGCGTGTGTGTGCGTGTTAGATAGGAGTGAATGAAGATGAATGGTTTTCGGGACCTGACGAGCTGTTGGAATGCGAGCAGGGTAATATTTTGTGAAAGGATTCAGGGAAACCAGTTAGCCAGACTTGAGTCCTGAAAGTGAGAAGTACAATGCCTGCACTTTAAAGGAGGGGTTTGGGAACATTCACATCCAAATAAGTGCTATTACCACTATGTACTCTCATACATTTCCCTTTTTGCCTCAATGCACCACCCACCTTGTCTTTCACACACACATATCCACCAACAAGGCCACTCTCAAATATCTGAACACATTCACTGCCTCCATCCAATCTTTCATTACCTAACTTTTTTGTTACCCCTATCATCTTGCTCTGTCCTATGTTCACCCTCCCAAATTCATCCACCAATCTTTGCAATTTCTCCTCAGAATCTCTCAAAAGCAGTGTCATCGGCAAAAAGCAACTGTGACAACTCCCACTTAGTATTGGATTCTATACATTTTAATCCCATACTTCTCCCTAGCACCCTAAAATAAATAAATATGTACAATATATATTTTTTCAATACATCGGCTGTCTCCCACCGAGGCAAGGTGACCCAAAACAGAAAATCTTTCGGCATCATTCACACTATCACTGTCTTTGCAGAGGTGCTCAGATGCGACAGTTTAGATGTCACTCCAATACAGCCAATATCACAAACCCCTCCTTCAAAGTGCAGGAACTGTACTTCCAACCTCCAGGACTTGAGTTTGGCCAACCAGTTTCCCTGAATCCCTTCACAAAATATTACCCTGCTCACACTCCAGCAGCTCATCAGGTCCCAAAAACCATTCATCTCCATTCACTCCTATCTAACATGTTTACACATGCCTGCTGCATGTCCAAGCCCCTTGCACACAAAACCTCTTTTTACCCCTTCCCTCCATCGTTTCTTAGGACGACCCCTACCACTCCTCCCCTCCACTACAGATCTATACACCTTCCAAGTCATCCTACAGGGTGTTTGAAATTGATGAACTCAATTTCAAAGCAGTCTGCTTTCAAATTGAGTTCATCAATTTCAGGCAGTCTGCTTTGAAATGGGGTCCATCTTTTTGAAACACCCTGTATTTTGCTCCACCCTCTCTAAATGACCAAACTACCTCAACAACCCCTCTTATATCCTCTGAATAATACCTTTAGTAACTCCACACCTCCTCCTAATTTCCACACTACAAATTCCCTTCATATTTACACCACACACTGCCCTAAGACATGACATCTCCACATCCTCCAGCCTCCTCCTTGCTGCAGCATTTACAACTCGTGCTTCACACCCATGTAAGTGTTGGTACTACTATACTCTTGTACACTGCCTTCATGGCTAACTTTTTTTTTTTTTTTTTTTTTTTTTGTCTCCACAGATACCTCAATGCACCACTCGCCTTTTTTTTCCCTTCATCAATTCTATGGTTAACCTTGTCCTTCGTGAACCCATCTGCTGACAAATCAACTCCCCAATATCTAAATACATTCACTTCTTCCATGCTCCCTCCCTCCAATGTAATATCCAGTTTTTCTTTACTTAACTTATTTGATACCCCCATCACCTTACTCTTATCTATGTTCACTTAACTTTCTTCCTTTTTACACCCTCCCAAATTCATCCACTAACCTTTACAACTTCTCTCTAGAATTTCCCAAAAGCACAGCATCATCAGCAACACATGACCATCTCCCACCAATGCAGGATGACACAAAAAAGAAACACTTTCACCATCATTCACACATAATCACTGTCTTTGCAGAGATGCTCTGATATGACAGTTCAAACATCACTCCAAATAGCATACAGGATATAAAATCATCTTTCAATAAACTGGTTGTTTCCCACCGAAGCAGGGTATCCCAAAAAGAAAAAGAAGAGTTTTTCTTTTTAACTTTAGTAATGTATACAGGAGAAGGGGTTCCTAGCCCCTTGCTCCCAGCATTTTAGTCACCTCTTATGACACGCATGGCTTACGGAGGAAGAATTCTATTCCACCTCCCCATGGAATGTATACAAAATATAGATATAAAATATACACATGGACCAAACTGCTGATTATCGGGCACTCATTACCACTCCTCTACTGCGCATACCCACTGGATATAATAAAGTTCCTGGTCAAGCAAGATTTGAATTGTTGAGGCATTGCTGCAATGGACTCATTCTGAATGTGAAATTACGAGACAGTAAGATTTCACATTTGTAAATATTAGTAAAGCTGAAGTACTCAGATTTTGTAAATTAGGTAATATTCATTATGAGATTTTTTTTTACTGAACTGTGTGAATGATTTACATGTTTATACTTTCTGTATAATTTTGTATGTAATTTTATAAATGGAATAATTATTGCTATAGTGCTAAATAAATGTTGTACTGTAAATCAGTATTGGTTATTAATCATTGATTGTTATCCTTCCCATATTAGCTCATGTTTTTCTATATGCAATATCTTTAGTGTACCAGAACACTTTAATGATCAAACTACCATGAGAGTGCTAAATATGTGCTTTATCCTATTTCTTTTTCCACCACTGAGGACAGAGGTGTGATGGAGATATAGCTAGATATGCTTTTGTGTGATTCAGGATACCAAATCTTATAAATACAAATAGCTGTTGAATAAAGGCTAGAGACTAGCAGATGCAGCAAGTGATGGAGTAGACTGAATAATGTTAAACTGCACATAAAAGATTTCTGATTATAGAAGGGCAGGTCCAGCTGGGAAGAGGAATGATTGGTGGAATAAGGTAAAAAAAAGGGGTGGCAATGAATAGAAACATTAGTGTAAAGGTGGGTACAATACAAATAATTTGGGTATATAGATAAGGGGAGATTTTTCCAGTAAAAATAGGCTTTAAATAGGCATGCGTGTCACCTCCATGGTTGTTTAATAAATTTTTAAGCCTGGGGGTTATATATATATATATAAAAGTGAATGCTGGTATGATGGGAAGAGGTCCTTGCTTAAGATAATGACTGAAACAAAGTGGGAGCTGTCACAGTTGCTTCGGGGTGATTTTGAAGAGAAGTTTGCGAGGACGTTTAAGAGGAAGTTGATAGTGAACATCAAGGTTATGACAATAAGAAAATGCTTTGCCAATAAAAGACTGAATATCAGATTGAGAGGAGTATGAATGAAAGGTAAGCTCCAGCTCTTGGTCCCACCTCTTAACTTCTGAGCAACTGACATGAATGAGTCCTGCCATATTTATTTTTGACCCCCCTGTATAGAGATAGTTTTCACTGTGTGTTCGCTTGGCTAATTCCACTCATTTGCCACTCCTACATACAAAGATACATGCACATTCTAATATCCATAATTAATTCTCACCTGGAGCTTGAGCTAATAGTGTAGCCACCTGATTATGTTGGGTGGCACTGTGTGTGTAGAGATGAGTGCCAACAGTGACCTGTGGGATGACCTTTCCCACCACCTGTCAAGCTTCTAGCCACTTGCACTTCACTGTGAAGCATCACTCATCCTGCAAATATAAAAAAAAGTACTGTTATTATTATTGTTATTATTATCCATGGGAAAGCATTAAACCCTGAGGTAATATAGCACTTGGGAAATGGGAGGTAATCAGGCATGATAACGAGAAAGGAGGGTAGCTCATGATCATTGGATCACAAGTCCTTTAATAGCAATGAAGCACACTCCTTGAAGGGTACCTTGGTGGAAAGTAGCCAATGTGTTAATATTTGTCATGCTTTCACATTATTGCTTCATTGATGACAACTATAAGAAACCAATAAAAACTTAAAAGTTTGAACCAGAACACTGTACTCCTTATAGTCAACCCTTGATATAATGGACTAACAGTGGCCAGTGGGTGGCTGGTAATGATGATCATGGGGGATAAGAGATTATTTAGCTGTGACCATAACAATAATGGACAACTCTGTAACCAAGAGACTATCTGCTGTTTTTGAGTCAACTGGCCCAGCAAATTTTGTCCAATATTTCCAGCCTGTTAGATTAAGGTCGATTAAATCAGGGGTACACACTTGTCCTCACAGTTTAATCTGACACTTGTCAAGTGAATGAGGTTCCTTCTGCGTTCTCCCAAGCTTGGTGGGAATATTACAGTACTATATTCATGCAAAAATACTAGACCCACAGGGGTCAGACAGCACTGGAAGCATCTGAAACATATCCCATATTTTTGTCTCCTGCACTGACCATTGGCTATGACCTTTCTTGAGAGTTTTGCTACTCTTGCAACCTAGCCTGGGGCCAAGCTGCCACCGTTGCTTCCTCCCCTTCCTGTGATCAGTCTACTGGTCTTCTCTGCTATTTCTCATTCAATTATTAATTAATAATAGTCCATAATAAACCAAAGCACTATCTAAAGTTCCTTCTCCAAGTGAGGTTTTCTGTTGTTTGTTACAGCCATGGTATTATGACTTATTCTTCAATATACGTACAGTGGACCCCCGCCTTATGATATTAATCTGTTCCTGAGAGCTCATCGTATGCCGAAATTATCGTAAGGTGAATTAATTTTCCCCATAAGAAATAATGGAAATCAAATTAATCCGTTCCTGACACTCTAAAGTATGAAAAAAAAAAAAAATTACCATATGAAATATTAATTTTAATACACACAAACTGAAGAAGACATGCAGTTAATACTCTACTAAGAATAGAATACATGATACTTACCTTTATTGAAGATCTGGTGATAATTGATGGGATGGGGGGAGGGGAGAGTGTGGAAGTTATTGTTTAGAAGGGGAATCCCCTTCCATTAGGACTTGAGGTAGCAAGTCCTTTTCTGGGGTTACTTCCCTTCTTTTAATGCCACTCGGACCAGCTTGAGAGTCACTGGACCTCTGTCGTACAACAAATCTGTCCATAGTGCTCTGTACCTCCCGTTCCTTTAAGATTTTCCTAAAATGGGCCATAACATTGTCATTGTACAGGTTGCCAACACGGCTTGCAGTAGCTGTGTCAGGGTGATTTTCATCTGTAAAGGTTTGCAGTTCAACCCACTTTGTACACATTTCCTTAATCTCTTTTTTCAATTCCATACTAATTCTCGCCCTTTTTACCACAGGGATGGCACTAGAAGCTTTCTTGGGGTCCATGGTGACTTATTTTACAGTTACAAGCACTAAAAACACTGGGATAATGTGAAATGTACCGAATGTATGCGTAGATGCGACCACACTGGCTGGCTTGTAAACACTGGCGCTGAGGCCACACGTTGGACGCATCCTGGATGAATCACGTAAGGCGAGTTTTTTAGCGTGAGGCGAGGTAAAATTTTTGCATTAAAATGTATTGTATGGCGGATTTAACGTAACGCAATGCCATCGTAAGGCGGGGGTCCACTGTACAGTATTTGTTTTTTTTTCAACACGTCGGTCGTCTCCCACCAAGGCAGGGTGACCCAAAAAGAAAGAAAATCCCCAAAAAGAAAATACTTTCATCATCGTTCAACACTTTCACCTCACTCGTACATAATCACTGTCTTTGCAGAGGTGCTCAGATACGACAGTTCATTAGTCCCTCCAAACTGCCAATATCCCAAACTCTTCCTTTAACCCTTAAACGGTCCAAACGTATATATATGTTTTTTCAACATCTGAAAGTATGTAAAAAATGTAGATTTTCTTTTTTGTTTTACATTTGAAAACGTGTAAAAAAACTTTTATCTACATTTTTTTTTTGTTATACGTATTTGAAAATATGTAAAAAAAAGTAGATCTACTTTTGTAGCACTACGAATCTGAACGTCGATCTGTTTGGACCGTTTAAGGGTTAAAGTGCAGACATTGCACTTTCCAATACCAGGACTCAAGTCCAGCTAACCGGAAAATATATAAATAAATTAATAAATAAAAAGGGGAGTGGTGCGTCGAGGTACAGTGGATTCCCACCTTACGATGGCATCACGTTACGTTAAATCCACCATACGATACATTTTAACGCAAAAATTTTGCCTCGCCTCATGCTAAAAAACTCACCTCATGCGATTCGTCCAAGACGCGTCCCACGTGTGGCCTGAGCGCGAATCAGCTGCCCCGTGGGTGCCAGTGTTTATAAGCCAGCCAGTGTGGTTGCATCCACGCATACAATCGGAACAATTCATATTATCACAGCGTTTTTAGTGATTGTACCTGCAAAATAAGTCACCATGGGCCCCAAGAAAGCTTCTAGTGCCAACCCTGCAGTAAAAAAGGTGAAAATTACTATGGAAATGAAGAAAGAGATAATTGCTAAGTACGAAAGTGGAGTGCGTGTCTCGGAGCTGGCCAGGTTGTATACCAAACCCCAATCAACCATCACTACTATCGTGGCCAACAAAACGGCAATCAAGAAAGCTGTTCTTGCAAAAGGTGCAACTTTGTTTTCGAATAAGAGATCGCAAGTACTCGAAGATGTTGAGAGACTGTTATTGGTGTGGATAAACGAAAAACAGATATCAGGAGACAGCATCTCTCAAGCGATCATATGTGAAAAGGCTAGAAAGTTGCACGAGGATTTAATTAGAAAAATGCCTGCAACTAGTGATGTGAGTGAATTTAAGGCCAGCAAAAGTTGGTTTGAGAGATTTAAGAATCGTAGTGGCATACATAGTGTGATAAGGCATGGTGAGGCTGCCAGTTTGGACCACAAAGTGGCTGAAAAATATGTGAAGGAATTCAAGGAGTACATAGACAGTGAAGGACTGAAACCTGAACAAGTGTTTAATTGTGACAAAACAGGCCTGTTTTGGAAGAAAATGCCAAACAGGACCTACATTACTCAGGAGGAAAAGGCACTCCCAGGACATAAGCCTATGAAAGACAGGCTTACTCTCTTGATGTGTGCTAATGCTAGTGGTGATTGCAAAGTGAAGCCTTTATTGGTGTATCACTCTGAAACTCCCAGAGTGTTCAGGAGAAACAATGTCCTCAAGGCTAATTTGTGTGTGCTGTGGAGGGCAAACACTAAGGCATGGGTCACTAGGGACTTTTTCTATGACTGGTTACACCATGCATTTGCCCCCCACTGTGAAAAATTACCTCCTGGAAAATAAATTGGACCTTAAGTGCCTCCTGGTATTAGACAATGCTCCTGCTCATCCTTCAGACTTGGGAGAGCGACTTTCTGGGGACATGAGCTTCATTAAGGTCAAGTTTTTGCCTCCTAATACCACTCCTCTCCTGCAGCCTATGGACCAACAGGTCATTTCAAACTTCAAAAAAAAACTCTACACAAAAGCTGTTTCAAAAGTGCTTTGTAGTGACCTCAGACACTCAATTGACTCTAAGACTTAGAGTTTTGGAAAGATCACTTTAGTATCCTCAGTTGTGTAAACCTTATAGGTAAGGCTTGGGAGGGAGTGATTAAGAGGACCTTGAACTCTGCTTGGAAGAAACTGTGGCCAGAATGTGTAGACAAAAGGGATTTTGAAGGATTTGAGGCTAACCCTGAGAAGCGTATGCCAGTTGTGGAATCAATTATGGCATTGGGGAAGTCCTTGGAGTTGGAGGTTAGTGGGGAGGATGTGGAAGAGTTGGTGGAGGAGGACAATGAAGAACTAACCACTGATGAGCTACAAGATCATCTTCAACAGCAAGAGGCCAGACCTGAGGAAACTGCTTCGGAGGAGGGGAGAGAGAAATTGAAGAAGTTGCCTACTTCAAAGATTAAGGAAATGTGTGCAAAGTGGCTTGAAGTGCAAACCTTTATGGATGAAAATCACCCTCAGACAGCTATTGCAAGCCATGCTGGTGACTATTACAATGACAATGTTGTGAACCACTTTAGACAAATCATAAAGGAACGGGAGGTACAGGCCTCTATGGACAGATATGCTGTGCGACAGAGGTCCAGTGACTCTCAAGCTGGTCCTAGTGGCATTAAAAGAAGAAGGGAAGTAACCCCGGAAAAGGATGTGCTACCTAAAGTCCTAATGGAAGGGGATTCCTCTTCTAAACATTAACAACTTCCACACTCTCCCCTCCTCCCATCCCATCAATCATCACCAGATCTTCAATAAAGGTAAGTGTCAGTTTGTGTGTATTAAAATTAATATTTCATGTGATAAAAAAAACTTTTTTTTCATACTTTGGGGTGTCAGGAACGGATTAATTTGATTTCCATTATTTCTTATGGGGAAAATTAATTCACCTTACGATAATTTCAGCATACGATGAGCTTCCAGGAACGGATTAATATCGTAAGGTGGGGGTCCACTGTATATGTGGAGACAAAAAATGTTATCTATGGGGGCAAAGAAGGGAATGTATGAAAGTACAGTGGTACCAACACTCTTTAATGAGTGTGAAGCTTGGGTTGTAAATGCTGCAGCGAGGAGACGGTTGGAGGCAGTGGAGATGTCCTGTCTAAGGGCACTGTGTGGTGTAAATATTATGCAGAAAATTTGGAGTGTGGAAATTAGGAGAAGGTGTGGAGTTAATAAAAGTATTAGTCAGAGGGTTGAAGAGGGGTTGTCGAGGTGGTTTGGTCATTCAGAGAGAATGGATCAAAGTAGAATGACATGGAGAGCGTATAAATCTGTATGGGAAGGAAGGCGGGGTAGGGGTCATCCTTGAAAAAGGTTGGAGAGAGGGGGTAAAGGAGGTTTTGTGGGCGAGGGGCTTGGACTTCCAGCATGCGTGAGCATGTTAGATAGGTATGAATGGAGACGAATGGTATTTGGAACCTGACGAGCTGTTGGAGCGTGAGCAGGGTAATATTTAGTGAAGGGATTCAGGGAAACTGGTTATTTTTATATAGCCGGACTTGAGTACTGGAAATATTGGGAAGTACAATGCCTGCACTTTAAAGGAGGGGTTTGGGATATTGGCAGTTTGGAGGGATATGTTGTGTATGTTTATACATATATGCTTCTAATCTGTTGTATTCTGAGCACCTCGGCAAAAACAGTGATTATGTGCGAGTGAGGTGAAAGTGTTGAATGATGATGAAAGTAGTATTTTCTTTTTGGGGATTTTCTTTCTTTTTGGGTCACCCTGCCTCGGTGGGAGGCGGCCGACTTGTTTAAAAAAAATAAATAAATAAATAAAGAAATATATATATATATATATATATCAAGGTAGTAGGTTGGTAGACAGCAACCGCCCAGGGAGGTACTACCGTCCTGCCAAGTGAGTGTAAAACGAAAGCCTGTAATTGTTTTACATGATGGTAGGATTGCTGGTGTCCTTTTTTCTGTCTCATGAACATGCAAGATTTCAGGTACGTCTTGCTACTTCTACTTACACTTAGGTCACACTACACATACATGTACAAGCACATATATACACACCCCTCTGGGTTTTCTTCTATTTTCTTTCTAGTTCTTATTCTTGTTTATTTCCTCTTATCTCCATGGGGAAGTGGAACAGAATTCTTCCTCCGTAAGCCATGCGTGTTGTAAGAGGCAACTAAAATGCCGGGAGCAAGGGGCTAGTAACCTCTTCTCCTGTATATATTACTAAATGTAAAAGGAGAAACTTTCGTTTTTCCTTTTGGGCCACCCCGCCTCGGTGGGATACGGCCGGTGTGTTGAAAGAAGAAGAAAGATATATATATATATATATATATATATATATATATATATATATATATATATATATATATATACATACATACATACATACTCCATACACCAGTGAAAGCCAGGAGAAAAATGTTGAAAAAATGATGACTATTTTATTGGAAGTCAGCCTATCCTCATTTTACTATATTAATTTTCTAGCTAGGTCTTCAACATCAATTTCTCAACACTGCAAATTTTCGAATGCTGTTTTCGCTGATGAATAAGACGTGTGCTGATGCATTTGTTCTGCATAGCAGGCTTCTTTAGTTGAATAAATGTTGACTTTAATAATGGAGACTGGAAAAATTGAAGAGGTAATTTGGCGGTGTTCATTCCTTCAGTCTTGACAAAGGGTGTTCAGCCCTTTAGCGATGGGGCTGACCAATGTAGGTTAAGGAACTGAACACCTATTAAGTCAGAGGGACTGAACACTTCGAAATTACCTCTCCATCTCTTTCACTGTCTCTAGTTTAAATCACCTCTGTATTTGGCTGAAAAAAAAAAAAAACCTGCTATGCAAAAGAATTTACACAAAAAGATAACCAAGTGTTTTACATGCATCTTTTTCTATCAACTAGCTGGTATTATACACAATAATGATAATTATTTTAGGTCAGGATAGGTTAAATAAACCTTTAAAAATGCATATTGAACCACAAATAAGCAAAATAAAATAAAAGATGTGAAACATCTGCCACTGAGGTGACTGAAAAAACAGGAAACATTCAAACCTGAGCATTTATCAATTGTGGTGCAAGAATGAGCTTTGAAATTATGAATTATGAAGAATTATGTCACATGTCTTGGCAGTGAATAGGCCAAAACATGTGAAAGGGTCAGTTTTGCTTTTTACTCTCACTGCATAGACTGAGTCATGCTATTACTGCTTGCTACCTACTGGCACTTGTACTCATCACCACCTGACTGATCATGCAACTCTCACAGAAATTTATCTAGCTCTCCCCCCCTCCCCCCCAAAAAAAAGGTCATCATTCAGTCAATCACTGTCTTGCCAGAAATGCACTTGATATCATGGTTCAAATTACTCTGAGTTACTACATCCTCACTCCCTCCTTCAGGGTACAGAAACTGTACTTCTTTAATTACTTGAAGAAATATGAATAACAGTAGGACTCAGATATTGAGGTCATATGTTCCTTTAAGCCTTCAAGAGAGGGGTCTTTATGCTGCTGAAGGGCTCTTCATTTAGGAACTGGAGATACCACTTCCTTACCTTTCATCACACTTGATTACCTTCCATTTCCCCATGCATTTTATGTCCACTATGCATATAACATCATGTTCAGTGAAAAAGATCATAGTCATTTTCCAAACATGCAATAGAAAAGTACAATGCACAGTATTACTTACATATATGAATAGAAGAGATTTTCTTTCTGGCTACTCAGAACTTGTGAAAACACTGTCACAGTCATGGAGGCTGTAGTGGAGAAATAATGGCTAGGAACCTGTCCTCTAGGCATGCTACTGCTTTTGCTGCTGCTATGTTGTTCTGTTGGGATAAGAAAGTTGTATAACTAGATCACTTTTTTATTTTTATCGCAGAATGACAGTATACGTGTTAGCAATCATGAATCTGAGCAAGTGAGGCTATCCACAGGGTGGAGAAAAGTGAGTGTGTGACCCCGTGGCCTGGCTGGCAAAGCACTCACTTCACACACTGAGGGCCCGGGTTCTATTCCCGGCGGGGTAGAAACATTTCAACGTGTTTCCTTACACCTGTTGTCCTGGTCACCTAGCAGCAAGTAGGTACCTGGGTGTTAGTCGACTGGTGTGGGTCTCATCATGGGGGACAAGACTGAGGACACCAATGGAAATATGACAGACAGTCCTCGATGACATACTGCCTTTCTCGGGTTATCCTGGGTGGCTAACCCTGCAGGGTTAAAAATCTGAATGAAATCTTATCTTATAGGGTGAGGTAAAGAGATCTATACATGTACTATAAGAATCATAAATACTGATGAGGTAAAACCCACATGGACAAGAAAAAAAAGGGAGTAAAAAGAGTCTTCATGTACATGTTTCAGTCTCACAGACTGAGAAGAGAGTACAGTACTTATATGATTAATATCCGAGGCCAAAATGCACAGATCCTTTCTATTCCATGTTTAATTTTCTGTCCATGTGGGATTTACTTGTTTGCATCTCAGCTAATATTCAGTGTCTCATATCCTCCTCACTCTACATATAATTTTTTTCAGTTAATTGTAAAAAAGCACACACAAAAAAGAAAATATTGCACAGCATGTAGTTCTTCTCAGTTTTAAAATTAGTTTTTGTTTTTAAAACAGAAATTTTAAATATTATTTTATTACAACAGATCAACAACACACAGTGCACTTGCTAAAACAGCATTGCAATAGAAAAAATAGGGCTTCACCTTTTGCTCATTTAAGACTGTAATGAGATGCTCTTGCTTCTTGACAAGTGCTGAGAAGTTTCTCTTTTCTCTCTCCAGCTCTTTAATTCTGGCATTGCTGCTGGTTACTGAGGCATGTAGCTGATCCAACTCCTCCTGAGACATAGAAATAACTGTGAATGTAACAGGCTGTTGCAGCAGTTAGGCAAGGAAAGAGATTATACAGCTCAGCGCATAATTTTGATTGGGGTAATTTAGCTAATGACTTTATTGACGATGATCATACAATAATAGAGGGATCTACATTCAACAGATACCTCCTTAACCCTTAAACTGTCCAAACGTAGATCTACATTTCCTCGCGTAGCGCTCTGAACATAGATCTACCTTTTTTTTTTTACACAGTTTCTTATGGAGAAAATCAAACGTAGATCTACGTTTGGACAGTTTAAGGGTTAATTAACCTGATGGATTATACAAGAACCCTAATGTCAAAAGGAAATTTCATGGATATGGTCATTTCAGACTAGGGATGGGACGATAAAATTTTTACTGATAGCAATACCCAGTTTTAAGCCAATGCTGATACTGTCAAAATTAGCTGATACCAATACTAGTACCGATACTTTCAAAATAAGCCAACACTCACCAATACCAATAGTACTTTGACACACCCTTATTTTAGACAGTAAGATTTCAGATATGTCTTGCTACTTCTACTTACACTTAGGTCACTACACATACATGTACAAGCATATATATATACACACCCCTCTGGGTTTTCTTCTATTTTCTTTCTAGTTCTTGTTCTTGTTTATTTCCTCTTACCTCCATGGGGAAGTGGAACAGAATTCTTCCTATGTAAGCCATGGGTGTTGTAAGAGGCGACTAAAATGCCGGGAGCAAGGGGCTAGTAACCCCTTCTCCTGTATATATTACTAAATGTAAAAGGAGAAACTTTCTTTTTCCTTTTGGGCCACCCTGCCTCGGTGGGATATGGCCGGTGTGTTGAAAGAAAGAAAGAATATATACAGGAAAAGGGGTTACTAGCCCCTTGCTCCCGGCATATTAGTCGCCTTTTACGACACGCATGGCTTATGGAGGAAGAATTCTGTTCCACTTCTCCATGGAGATAAGAGGAAATAAACAAGAACAAGAACTAGAAAGAAAATAGCAGAAAACCCAGTATGAAGATAGACTCAAAGCCTTAAATCTCCACTCTCTGGAGAGGCGTAGAATGAGGGGAGATATCATTGAAGTGTATAAGTGGATGACGGGCATAAACAAGGGAGATATTAATAAAGTACTGAGGGTGTCAAACCAGGTAAGAACCAGGAATAATGGATTTAAGTTGGATAAATTTAGATTTAGAAAGGACATAGGTAAGTATTGGTTTTCTAACAGAGTTGCAGATGCGTGGAACAGTCTTCCCAGTGGGGTGATAGAGGCTAGGACCTTGGGTAGCTTTAGGAAGAGACTGGACAAATATATGAGTGGGAGGGGCTGGGTTTGATTGGTGTCACTGGGTACGGGAGTTATTTCTAGGGAAGCTTTAGGTAGTAGTCGTTTTGATAAGGACCTGCCTCGCATGGGCCAGTAGGCCTTCTGCAGTGTTCCTCCATTCTTATGTTCTTATATGCTTGTACATGTATGTGTAGTGTGACCTAAGTGTAAGTAGAAATAGTAAGACGTACCTGAAATCTTGCATGTTTATGAGACAGAAAAAAGGACACCAGCAATCCTACCATCATGTAAAACAATCACAGGCTTTTGTTTTACACTCACTTGGCAGGACGGTAGTACCTCCCTGGGTGGTTGTTGTCTACCAACCTACTACCACAGGACGGTAGTACCTCCCTGGGTGGTTGTTGTCTACCAACCTACTACCACAGGACGGTAGTACCTCCCTGGGTGGTTGTTGTCTACCAACCTACTACCACAGGACGGTAGTACCTCCCTGGGCGGTTGCTGTCTACCAACCTACTACCTAGGTCTTGCCTAATTGTTGTTTACAATTTCATAAATTATACTAAATGTAAATTTTAAAGTTTGATAGTTTTTCTAAACATTTTATTTAAAATAAAAAGACAACTAAATTAATTGCTGCTATTTATAAATATCTCTTCAGGCTTCTTTAAAGGCATTCTTAATGCAAGTATAACCCTAGACAAGAACAGTAATGTGTTAATATTGGTAGAATTACCGATAATAATGGCAGAAAACATCCATTTTACATGCCCCACAATAGTAGGCAATTCCATGGTCAACCAAGACCAACAAATATTTAATTAATGCACAGGTGGTCAGCCTATGACAATCCGGTAACAGCTTGTTTCCTATACTAGGTAAATTTTTTGTTATTATTATAGTCATAGGAAATGGTTAAATCCATAAGGGTGATATAGCATGTGCAGAATGGGAGACAATCAGGTCTGAGCCAAGGAAAGGGGAGGTAGCTTTAATTCTTTGCACCAAGAGCCCTTCACTAGCATCAAAGTAGCCAATTTAAAGGTCTTCTCACCATATAATCTTTACCTAAGAATATCAGGAAAACCAAAGATCATGGGGAAATTTTAAGCTTATCCATATTATCAAATTAATGGAGAAGAACTAAAACCACAGAGATCACATTGTTTGGGAGAATGGGAAGCATTCAGGTTTGATCCAAGTGGAAGGAATGCTCAATTCCTTGGATCAAGAGTCCCTCACCAGCATCAAGGAACATCCCTTGAGGGGGGAGCTCATCACACCTTCTCTACCAAGAGTCAAGAGTGAAGGTCTGTATAAATGGTTTAGAAAACTGACAAGTTGATCAATGAGACACTTGTACAAAATTTGGATATCTAACATTTTGCCAGCCAGTGGTTTCTTCAGTCCAATACAAAGAACAGTGGAAGATGAGGAGTTTGAAGTAATTGACTCCAGGGTAAGGGACTGATTACCTTAAACTCCTCATCTTCCACCATTCTTCTCTGTATTAGGCTGAAGAAGCCACTGGCTTCCAAAACAATTCCAGAATAAAGATTTCCAAAGGTTGCACAAGTGTTTTATTTATCAGGAGTGAAGGTCACTGACCTAGTCAACAGCAGTCTTTGGTGCCTCTTTCATGTCAAACACCCTTGATATAATTCCAAAGAAAAAAAAACTGTTGTCTCCCTCCTCACTAAATATCTATGCCTATGATTATCAGTTTTCTGCAATGTTTCTCATCTCTCAGCTAAGACATCTTTTTATTATTATTATAATAAAAAAGAAGCTCTAAACCTACAAGGGTCATACAGCGCCAAAGACATCTTTTAGACTAGAAAAGGCTCCGAATATTTATCTGGATGACCTGCAGTGGATGCAAGCCAGTGAGATATTGCTAAACATGCATACTCTGGAAATTATTCTAATCTAAAGAAACTAAAACACGGTTTTACAAAGGGGCGTTCCTGTCTTACAAATTTACTAACTTTTTTCACTAAGGTGTTTCAGGAGGTAGATCATGGTAATTAATATGATATTGTGTATATGGACTTCAGCAAGGCTTTCAATAGAGTTCCACATCAGAGGCTACCGAGGAAACTTAAGGCACACGGTATAAGAGGAGAAATTTTTTCCTGGGTAGAGGGATGGCTGACAAATTGGCAGCAGAGTTTTTGTATAAATGGGGAGAAACCAGAATGGGGGCTCGGCACAAGCAGTGTTCCGCAGGGGTCAGTGTTCGGCCCGTTGTTGGTCACAATTTACATAAACGACATAGATGAGGGAATAAATAGTGACAAGCAAATTTGCTGATGACACCAAAATAGGCCATCCAATTCATTCTAATGAGAACACTAGAGCACACCAGGATGATTTGAATAGACTGATGCAATGGTCGGAGAAGTGGCAGATGCGGTTTAATATAGACAAATGCAAAGTTCTAAATGTTGGACAGGAAAATAACCATGCCACATATAAACTAAATAATGTAGATCTTAATACTACTGATTGTAAAAAGGATTTAGGAGTTCTGGTTAGCAGTAATTTAAAACCAAGACAACAGTGCATCAGTGTTCACAATAAAGTTAACAGAACCCTTGGCTTCACATCTAGAAGTATAAATAATAGAAGTCCTCAGGCTGTTCTTCAACTCTATATATCCTTGGTTAGGCCTCATTTAGATTATGCTGCACAGTTTTGGTCACCGTATTACAGAATGGATGTAAATGCACTGGAAAACGTACAGAGGAGGATAAAGTTGATCCCACGTATCGGAAATCTTCCCTATGAGGATAGACTGAGGGCCCTGAATCCGCACTCTCTCGAAAGGTGTAGAATTAGAGGGGATATGATCGAGGTGTATAAATGGAAGACAGGAATAAATAAAAGGGATGTAAATAACGTGCTGAAAATATCTAGCCTAGACAGGACTCGCAGCAATAGTTTTAAGTTGGAAAAATTCAGATTCAGGAAGGATATAGGAAAGCACTGGTTTGGTAATAGAGTTGTGGATGAGTGGAACAAACTCCTGAGTACAGTTATCGAGGCTAAAATGTTGTGTAGTCTTAAAAATAGGTTAGATAAATACATGAGTGGGTGTGAGTTGGACCTGACTAGCTTGTGCTACTAGGTCTGATGCCGTGCTCCTTCCTTAAGTGGAAGTGACCTGACTAGGTGGGTCATTGGGCTAATCCAGAGAGGAGAGTGTAGACATGGACCTGCTTTGCATGGGTCAGTAGGCCTGCTGCAGTGTTCCTTCTTTCTTGTGTTCTTATATCCTCAGTGAGAATCAGACTCAGTAGTAATCAGTTCCTTGGCCAATACAGGAAAAATATTCACTCTCTCAACATTATACATATAAATCATCTGAATGGATTTATGATATTACCTTGTGTTTCATTTTGAGTTTCTCTGTGTGGTCTCTGAGAGCAGCATTGTCAGCTCTTGCACGTGTCAACTGGGCTTGGATGAATGACTGGCTACTACAATGACCACACTTACTGTGCTGTGTGCTAGCTAACTCCTGAAAACAACACAATAAAGGCTATCAAAAAACTTCTTGTCTAGAAGAAAAAAAAATTGGATTTACTGAAACTAAAAGCATGAAAGATCAGCATAATGCTAATTTAAATTTCTTGAAGTGCAAAACTAGCCCTTAAAAATTTTTTTATGATAATTTTCAATCAAAGGGTCCCAAGTTCAGCTAACTTAATGTTGGCAGCTTCCTAGTACACTTGTCTAATGCAAACAACTCATAAAAAAAGCACAGTAGAATGAACAGTAGAAAAATTAATGCACATTTCATCATAACTTATGTGATATCAAAGTGAAGCTACAAATCGTTACAGCTGAAGCATACAGTACCTTCCGCAACACCTGGCATTCCCCATTTAGCTCCTTGACACGCTGCAGAAGGTGTTTGTTGGATTTTTGGAGTTTGGAGTTCTCTTGGTGTAAATTTTGTACCTTCTTGTTTATATTTCGTCTCTCAGTCTCTGCAGCAGAGGATGCCACACTTGCCACTCGTTTTGCATGCACCTGTTGTACAATCAAGGAGTGACTAAAATCTTTGGGATTTCAGTTATTTGCGAGTATAAATTGTTTCATGTTGACAAAGGGTTTCAATTACTACTTTACGCTGATTTAGGGTTTCAATTATTCCATGTTAGCAGATATAACAAGAGGAATGGGTGGTACATATCAAAGAAAACTTGAAATGCTGCATAAAGACAGATTTAGGCTGCAGGAACAGAATCAGTCTAGGTAGAACTTAAACCAAGATGTGTATAACTCATTGAACTCTCAGACCAGGAATCTAGAATCCAACAATTTGCTAGAGATAACTCGGAATTCTTTTTTAATTAAAGTAGTTTCTGACAAGCATCTAGAGGTAATAACCTGAGAGGAGACTGTACTCATTTTAATACACAAATAGTCCATACGTAGGAGAGGAGCTTATGACAATGTTTCGGTTTGACTTGGACCATTTCATGACTTTGTAAATGGTCCAAGTCGGACCAAAATGTTGTCGTAAGCTCCTCTCTCCTATATGTGGGTTATTTGTGTACTGTTCCAATCATGGTATTGTCTCTCTTTGTTCTTTCTACTCATTTTAAGTTGAGCTGTTGAACTGCATGATTCACTGCAGGTAGTCAGTTTAATATCTTAGAGGCACATAAGGGATCCAAGGATTGCACCCTAGTTTTGATAGATAAACAAATTACAGTGATAATGAACTATGTATTTACATTTTTATATCTAGTTACAATTGTAATGAGTTATTTATAGACATGAATTCAATCACAAAAGTATCACAGCATAGCTTATATGTGGTTTTGAATTATTTATATTGTATTTTAGAAAGGTATGGTTGAATTCAAAGAAATATAAGTGATTACTTCTTCTTATTCTTTTTAGCAACTATTGGCAGAAAGGTGGGCTGGTGCAGGTATGAGTAGTGGGGGGGGGGGGTTGAAGAGGGTTGGAATAGTTTTAAAAATGCAGTATTAGAATGTGGGGCAGAAGTTTGTGGTTAAAGGAGGGTGGGTGCAGGAGGAAAGAGGAGTGATTGGTGGAATGATGAAGTAAAGGGTGTGATAAAAGCGAAAAAGGTAGCTTATGGGAGGTATTTACAAAGCAGAAGTGTTATAAGAAGAGTACAGTATATGGAGAGTAAAACAAAGGTGAAGAGAGTGGTGAGAGAGTGCAAAAGGAGAGCGGATGATAGAGTGGGAGAGGTACTGTCAAGGAATTCTAATGAAAATAAAAAAAAATTTTGGAGTTAAACAAGTTAAGAAAGCCTAGGGAACAAATGAATTTATCAGTTAAAAACAGAGAAGGGGAGTTAGTAGATGGGGAGATGGAGGTTTTGGGTAGATGGCGAGAATATTTTGAGGAACTTTTAAATGTCAACGAAGAAAGGGAGGCAGTAATTTCATGCACTGGCCAGGGAGGTATATCATCTTCTAGGAGTGAAGAAGAGCAGGATGTGAGTGTGGGGGAGGTGCGGGAGGCATTACGTAGAATGAAAGGGGGTAAAGCAGCTGGAACTGACGGGATCATGACAGAAATGTTAAAAGCAGGGGGGGACAGTGTTGGAGTGGTTGGTATTTTTGTTTAATAAAAGTTAAAAATAGGAGAGGAGAGTTATTAAATGGAGAGTTAGAGGTATTGGGAAGATGGAGGGAATATTTTGAGGAATTGTTAAATGTTGATGAAGATAGGGAAGCTGTGATTTCGTGTATAGGGCAAGGAGGAATAACATCTTGTAGGAGTGAGGAAGAGCCAGTTGTGAGTGTGGGGGAAGTTCGTGAGGCAGTAGGTAAAATGAAAGGGGGTAAGGCAGCCGGGATTGATGGGATAAAGATAGAAATGTTAAAAGCAGGTGGGGATATAGTTTTGGAGTGGTTGGTGCAATTATTTAATAAATGTATGGAAGAGGGTAAGGTACCTAGGGATTGGCAGAGAGCATGCATAGTTCCTTTGTATAAAGGCAAAGGGGATAAAAGAGAGTGCAAAAATTATAGGGGGATAAGTCTGTTGAGTGTACCTGGTAAAGTGTATGGTAGAGTTATAATTGAAAGAATTAAGAGTAAGACGGAGAATAGGATAGCAGATGAACAAGGAGGCTTTAGGAAAGGTAGAGGGTGTGTGGACCAGGTGTTTACAGTGAAACATATAAGTGAACAGTATTTAGATAAGGCTAAAGAGGTCTTTGTGGCATTTATGGATTTGGAAAAGGCGTATGACAGAGTGGATAGGGGGGCAATGTGGCAGATGTTGCAAGTGTATGGTGTAGGAGGTAGGTTACTGAAAGCAGTGAAGAGTTTTTACGAGGATAGTGAGGCTCAAGTTAGAGTATGTAGGAAAGAGGGAAATTTTTTCCCAGTAAAAGTAGGCCTTAGACAAGGATGTGTGATGTCACCGTGGTTGTTTAATATATTTATAGATGGGGTTGTAAGAGAAGTAAATGTGAGGGTCTTGGCAAGAGGCGTGGAGTTAAAAGATAAGGAATCACACACAAAGTGGGAGTTGTCACAGCTGCTCTTTGCTGATGACACTGTGCTCTTGGGAGATTCTGAAGAGAAGTTGCAGAGATTGGTGGATGAATTTGGTAGGGTGTGCAAAAGAAGAAAATTAAAGGTGAATACAGGAAAGAGTAAGGTTATGAGGATAACAAAAAGATTAGGTGATGAAAGATTGAATATCAGATTGGAGGGAGAGAGTATGGAGGAGGTGAACGTATTCAGATATTTGGGAGTGGACGTGTCAGCGGATGGGTCTATGAAAGATGAGGTGAATCATAGAATTGATGAGGGAAAAAGAGTGAGTGGTGCACTTAGGAGTCTGTGGAGACAAAGAACTTTGTCCTTGGAGGCAAAGAGGGGAATGTATGAGAGTATAGTTTTACCAACGCTCTTATATGGGTGTGAAGTGTGGGTGATGAATGTTGCAGCGAGAAGAAGGCTGGAGGCAGTGGAGATGTCATGTCTGAGGGCAATGTGTGGTGTGAATATAATGCAGAGAATTCGTAGTTTGGAAGTTAGGAGGAGGTGCGGGATTACCAAAACTGTTGTCCAGAGGGCTGAGGAAGGGTTGTTGAGGTGGTTCGGACATGTAGAGAGAATGGAGTGTATCAAGAGTGTATCAGTCTGTAGTGGAAGGAAGGCGGGGTAGGGGTCGGCCTAGGAAAGGTTGGAGGGAGGGGGTAAAGGAGGTTTTGTGTGCGAGGGGCTTGGACTTCCAGCAGGCATGCATGAGCGTGTTTGATAGGAGTGAATGGAGACAAATGGTTTTTAATACATGACGTGCTGTTGGAGTGTGAGCAAAGTAACATTTATGAAGGGATTCAGGGAAACCGGCAGGCCGGACTTGAGTCCTGGAGATGGGAAGTACAGTGCCTGCACTCTGAAGGAGGGGTGTTAATGTTGCAGTTTAAAAACTGTAGTGTAAAGCACCCTTCTGGCAAGACAGTGATGCAGTGAATGATGGTGAAAGTTTTTCTTTTTCGGGCCACCCTGCCTTGGTGGGAATCGGCCAGTGTGATAATAAAAAAAAAAAAAAAAAAAAAAAAAAAAAAAAAAAAAAAAAAAAAAAAATGTATGAAAGAGGGGAAGGTACCTAGGGATTGGCGGAGTGCATGTATAGTCCCTTTATATAAAGGGAAGGGGGACAAAAGAGATTGTAAAAATTATAGAGGAATAAGTTTACTGAGTATACCAGGAAAAGTGTACGGTAGGGTTATTATTGAAAGAATTAGAGGTAAGACAGAATGTAGAATTGCGGATGAGCAAGGAGGTTTTAGAGTGGGTAGGGGATGTGTAGATCAAGTGTTTACATTGCAGCATATACGTGAGCAGTATTTAGATAAAGGTAGGGAAATTTTTATTGCATTTATGGATTTAGAAAAGGCATATGATAGAGTGGATAGGGGAGCAATGTGGCAGATGTTGCAAGTGTATGGAATAGGTGGTAAGTTACTAAATGCTGTAAAAAGTTTTTATAAGGATAGTGAAGCTCAGGTTAGGGTGTGTAGAAGAGAGGGAGACTACTTCCCAGTAAAAGTAGGTCTTAGACAGGGATGTGTAATGTCACCATGGTTGTTTAATATATTTATAGATGGGGTTGTAAAAGAAGTAAATGCTAGGGTGTTCGGGAGGGGTGGGATTAAATTATGGGGAATTAAATACAAAATGGGAAGTGACACAGTTACTTTTTGCTGATGATACTGTGCTTATGGGAGATTCTAAAGAAAAATTGCAAAGATTAGTGGACGAATTTGGGAATGTGTGTAAAGATAGAAAGTTGAAAGTGAACATAGAAAAGAGTAAGGTGATGAAAGTATCAAATGATTTAGATAAAGAAAAATTGGATATCAAATTAGAGAGGAGGAGTATGGAAGAAGTGAATGTTTTCAGATATTTGGGAGTTGACGTGTCAGTGGATGGATTTATGAAGGATGAGGTTAATCATAGAATTGACGAAGGAAAAAAGGTGAGTGGTGCATTGAGGTATATGTGGAGGCAAAAAATGTTATCTATGGAGGCAAAGAAGGGAATGTATGAAAGTATAGTAGTACCAACACTCTTATATGGGTGTGAAGCTTGGGTTGTAAATGCTGTATCGAGGAGGCAGTTGGAGGCAGTGGAAATGTCCTGTCTAAGGGTAATGTGTGGTGTAAATATTATGCAGAGAATTTGGAGTGTGGAAATTAGGAGAAGGTGTGGAGTTAATAAAAGTATTAGTCAGAGGGCAGAAGAGGGGTTGTTGAGGTGGTTTGGTCATTTAGAGAGAATGGATCAAAGTAAAATGACATGGAGAGCATATAAATCTGTAGGGGAAGAAAGGTGGGGTAGGGGTCATCCTCAAAAAGGTTGGAGGGGGTAAAGGAGGTTTTGTGGGCGAGGGGCTTTGACTTCCAGGAAGCATGCGTGAGCGTGTTAGATAGGAGTGAATGGAGACGAATGGTATTTGGGACCTGACGAGCTGTTGGAGTGTGAGCAGGGTAATATTTAGTGAAGGGATTCAGGGAAACCGGTTATTTTCATATAGTCGGACTTGAGTCCTGGAAATGGGAAGTACAATGCCTGCACTTTAAAGGAGGGGTTTGGGATATTGGCAGTTTGGAGGGATATGTTGTGTATCTTTATATGTTTATGCTTCTAGACTGTTGTATTCTGGGCACCTCTGCAAAAACAGTGATAATGTGCGAGTGTGGTGAAAGTGTTGAATGATGATGAAAGTATTTTCTTTTTGGGGATTTTCTTTCTTTTTTGGGTCACCCTGCCCCGGTGGGAGACGGCCGACTTGTTGAAAAAAAAAAAAAAAAAAAAAAAAAAAAAAAAAAAAAAAAAAAATTCAGGGAAACTGGTTATTTTTATATAGCTGGACTTGAGTACTGGAAATATTGGGAAGTACAATGCCTGCACTTTAAGGGAGGGGTCTGGGATATTGGCAGTTTGGAGGGATATGTTGTGTATCTTTATACGTATATGCTTCTAAACTGTTGTATTCTGGGCACCTCTGCAAAAACAGTGATTATGTATGAGCGAGGTAAAAGTGTTGAATGATGCTGAAAATATTTTCTTTTTGGGGATTTTCTTTCTTTTTGGGTCACCCTGCCTTGGTGGGAGATGGCCAACTTATTATAAAAAAAAAAAAATTAAGTGGTGAAAGTGTTGAAGGATGATGAAAGTTTTTTCTTTCTTTCTTGTTGGGTTTTTCTTACTTTGTGGGTCACCCTGCCTCGGTGGGAAACAGCCGACATGTTAACCCTTAAACTGTCCAAACATAGATCTACGTTCATGTGTGCAGCGCACCGACCTTGATTTTCCCTATTTGAAAGCATGTAAAAAAAAAAGTAGATCTACGTTCAGAGCCCCCCCCACACGTGGACACAGATCTATGTTTGGACAGTTTAAGGGTTAAAAAAAAAATTAAAATATCAATTACATTTTTTACTTACAAGTCTTTTGCACTCTTCTTGTGAAAGCTTGAGAGTCTCACTTAGGCTCTTCACCTTCTTGGTGAGAATGCTTATACGAACTCGAGTAGACTGATCCAGAAATTCGTCAAATATGGCCTCCTCTTTGTCATCATCCACTTCCACTTCATTATTTACATTTCCTACAAGTTCTGCTTCGACAGCACTTCTTTCTAGCGCACTCATTGTTCCTTTAAGTTTCCCTTCACACACACTAGAAGAACTGTTCAACTTGTCTCCCATGCGTTTGCTCTGAGAGTTGCATCGAGGGGAACAGCCATCACTCTCATCGCTAGGAGTACTTTGTGCTTCAGGACCACCGGTTAAGTTACCATCACTCTTGCATGTATTCGCTGCCATGTGTCCATCATTAGTGATTATCTTCACATTCTGTTTGTCCCTAATGCTATTACTTGAGCTGGCCCCACTCAGTACAAAACTTCTGGGCTTACTGTCTAATCCTCGGGGAGAAATTTTCAACTGAGTGCTGGACTCCATACTCTGAAAAGATTAAAAATATAAACAGCTGATCTAGGGTAAAAAAGATGCGAGTGCAGGTGCCTCAAACCCATAACTGGCCTACTAGTGGAGTCCTAACAACTTTGTTATATATCAGTAATAGGATATGGTTTTCCACCTTGCCTCTCTTCTCTTGTTGATTAGGTTACGTTTCTTAGGTTTAGGGCCTATGAACTGTCAAGATCATTAAGGCAGTAATATATTTAGTTACCACCTATCAAGAACACCTTAATCCTCAGTAAAAGGATTAAAGTAAACTCAAAGCAAATACTATTATTATTACTATCATTTCTAACATGGTGTCACTTGTGCAAGTCGTCTGGCTACCACATCTCATATTTATGTTTATTTATTCTACTGTGGGGTGTATTTATCATATTTATATGTTATGCATTGTGTTTATCATATAATTTTGAAAAAATGTCATAGATGGATTAATGAAAATGTGTATATTAACGTAATATACGACATTTAAATGAGATTCTGTGATTATTATCATCATTACTAATATGACGTCTGGAGACATAAGACACACTTACTAATTTTAATGTGTACCTGCATGCCAGCACAGTGTTTATTTAGGTACAGCTATACATAAGTATAATTATCAGGGTATATATAAAATATGAAATAACTTTTAAAAACACTTGAAATTTTGGCGTTTCCAGACAAAATGGAGTGACTTTGTGCTTACGGATCTCACAGAGAATGTAAACAAACCAGGTGGGGCACGGTGACCATATTAGAAAGCCAGGTGGGGAGAGCCGTATAGCGAGTTTTGGTCATAATTTGAAATGACCGTATTAGCGGAACTCCGTAAAGCGAAACGCCATAAAGTGGGGCTCTACTGTACGTACAATATACCATACACTACTGTATAAACATTTAAAAATAGTATACCAGAAATGTTATAAATTGAACAAAGGTGACATTAAAACAATATCAAAGATGGTTGACACAAACCCACTACCATTATAGTATGCTCCTCACTCAGCGACATTTAATGACGTGGTCTTAGGAATGAAACTCCGTCATTAAGTGAGGAGAGGCTGTATAATTCTCTCAGTGTATTTACGATCATCTTTATGTTACTAGAACATTCCCTCAAGTAAGTAAGTAAGTTTATTCAGGTATACATAAATACAGTTACATAGATTATCATACATAGCAGCATATGTGTAAAGTGCCTAGGATAACCCAAAAAAGTCAGACAGAGTGACTTATTTACATTGGGGTCCTTTAAAAATAATGATTTGCAGACTTTCAAGTGCCCAACAGTGAATAAAATACTGGTTTAAACAAATAAAAATTTTGGCTGTCATGGCCCTGGCTTTCATTAAATATTAACAGAAAGCACAAGCCAAAGTACTATATCAGCAAACCAATGTTAATATTTTATGATTATTTTATGAAAATAAGAAAAAATTTTGGAGTGAGTTAAACAAGTTAAGAAAGCCTAGGGAAAGTATGGATTTGTCAGTTAAAAACAGAGTAGGGGAGTTAGTAGATGGGGAGAGGGAGGTATTAGGTAGATGGCGAGAATATTTTGAGGAACTTTTAAATGTTGAGGAAGAAAGGGAGGTGGTAATTTCATGCACTGGTCAGGGAGGTATACCATCTTTTAGGAGTGAAGAAGAGCAGAATGTAAGTGTGGGGGAGGTACGTGAGGCATTACGTAGAATGAAAGGGGGTAAAGCAGCTGGAACTGATGGGATCATGACAGAAATGTTAAAAGCAGGGGGGGATATAGTGTTGGAGTGGTTGGTACTTTTGTTTAATAAATGTATGAAAGAGGGGAAGGTACCTAGGGATTGGCAGAGAGCATGTATAGTCCCTTTATATAAAGGGAAAGGGGACAAATGAGATTGTAAAAATTATAGAGGAATAAGTTTATTGAGTATACCAGGAAAAGTGTATGGTAGGGTTATAATTGAAAGAATTAGAGGTAAGACAGAATGTAGGATTGCGGATGAGCAAGGAGGTTTCAGAGTGGGTAGGGGATGTGTAGATCAAGTGTTTACATTGAAGCATATATGTGAACAGTATTTAGATAAAGGTAGGGAAGTTTTTATTGCATTTATGGATTTAGAAAAGGCATATGATAGAGTGGATAGGGGAGCAATGTGGCAGATGTTGCAAGTATATGGAATAGGTGGTAAGTTACTAAATGCTGTAAAGAGTTTTTATGAGGATAGTGAGGCTCAGGTTAGGGTGTGTAGAAGAGAGGGAGACTACTTCCCGGTAAAAGTAGGTCTTAGACAGGGATGTGTAATGTCACCATGGTTGTTTAATATATTTATAGATGGGGTTGTAAAAGAAGTAAATGCTAGGGTGTTCGGGAGAGGGGTGGGATTAAATTATGGGGAATCAAATTCAAAATGGGAATTAACACAGTTACTTTTTGCTGATGATACTGTGCTTATGGGAGATTCTAAAGAAAAATTGCAAAGGTTAGTGGATGAGTTTGGGAATGTGTGTAAAGAGAGAAAGTTGAAAGTGAACATAGAAAAGAGTAAGGTGATGAGGGTATCAAATTCAAATTCAAAGTTTATTCTCTATAAAGATTACAATGTTGAATTTACAGAATTTGGTTGTTGTGTGGTTTACATGTAGTTAAATAATGATTACAGAGTGTACCACTAGAACGCCTAGCATGGCTAGGCATTTCGGGCAGACTTAGTTTAATTCTTTATTTTAAAATATTACAAATTATGAGGTAAGTTGGTATTATGGCTAAGTGACTAAATACTAGTTTGTGAGTTTAGCAATGTGAATGCTTTTGTTTTGGCACAGTACATAGTTTAAGTATTGGAGTATCATAGGATTCATTATTTTAAGATTGAGATTAATATTTCTGTTTATGGTCAAATGGGTGAGTGAGTGTAAGTGTGAACCACCAGGTGGTATTCGTGTAGTTAGTTGATGGGGTGTATCAGGGAGATAAGATGTTTTCTAATGGTAGTTTTGAAGGTGATGAATGTGTCTGCAGTTCTAGAGTTCTCAGGTAGGGTGTTCCAGATTTTAGGGCCTTTGACATACATTGAATTTTTGTAAAGGTTTAGTCGGACACGGGGAATGTCGTAGAGATGTTTGTGTCTGGTGTTATGCCTGTGGGTTCTATCACAACTATCAAGAAAGCATTTTAGGTCAAGGTTGATATTGGAGTTTAAGGTCCTGTAGATGTAGACTGCACAGTAGTAAGTGTGGATGTACTGAACAGGGAGTAAGTTTAGATCTATGAAGAGTGGGGGGGGGGGTGTTGCCAGGGATGGGATTTAGTGATTATTCTTACTGCAGCTTTTTGTTGGGTTATTATTGACTTTAGGTGTGTTGCTGCAGTTGATCCCCAAGCCCAAATAGCATAGGTGAGGTATGGATAAATAAGTGAGTGGTATAGTGTGAGAAGGGCATTTTGCGGCACGTAGTATTGTATCTTGGAGAGGATCCCAACTGTTTTGGATAGATAAAGAAAAATTGGATATCAAATTGGGGAGGAGGAGTATGGAAGAAGTAAATGTTTTCAGATACTTGGGAGTTGACGTGTCGGCGGATGGATTTATGAAGGATGAGGTTAATCATAGAATTGATGAGGGAAAAAATGTGAGTGGTGCATTGAGGTATATGTGGAGTCAAAAAACGTTATCTATGGAGGCAAAGAAGGGAATGTATGAAAGTATAGTAGTACCAACACTCTTATATGGGTGTGAAGCTTGGGCGGTAAATGCAGCAGCGAGGAGACGGTTGGAGGCAGTGGAGATGTCCTGTCTAAGGGCAATGTGTGGTGTAAATATTATGCAGAAAATTCGGAGTGTGGAAATTAGGAAAAGGTGTGGAGTTAATAAAAGTATTAGTCAGAGGGCAGAAGAGGGGTTGTTGAGGTGGTTTGGTCATTTAGAGAGAATGGATCAAAGTAGAATGACATGGAAAGCATATAAATCTATAGGGGAAGGAAGGCGAGGTAGGGGTCGTCCTCGAAAGGGTTGGAGAGAGGGGGTAAAGGAGGTTTTGTGGGCAAGGGGCTTGGACTTCCAGCAAGCATGCGTGAGCGTGTTAGATAGGAGTGAATGGAGATGAATGGTACTTGGGACCTGACGATCTGTTGGAGTGTGAGCAGGGTAATATTTAGTGAAGGGATTCAGGGAAACTGGTTATTTTCATATAGTCGGACTTGAGTCCTGGAAATGGGAAGTACAATGCCTGCACTTTAAAGGAGGGGTTTGGGATATTGGCAGTTTGGAGGGATATGTTGTGTATCTTTATACGTATATAGTACTTCTAAACTGTTGTATTCTGAGCACCTCTGCAAAAACAGTGATTATGTGTGAGTGTGGTGAAAGTGTTGAATGATGATGAAAGCATTTTCTTTTTGGGGATTTTCTTTCTTTTTTGGGTCACCCTGCCTCGGTGGAAGACGGCCAACTTGTTGAAGAAAAAAAAAAAAAAAAAAAAAAAAAAAAAAAAAAAAAAAAACATGTATTACATGAAATCTTAAAACACATTTGCATGAAATATAATAGAAGTGATCACTTCATCAACAATATGTCTTCTGACAACAAACCATTGAGAAATGCGAGGATTTTCTTCCAAGTCCAAGTCTGCGAAGTTGGCTAAGCCTCTGGTCTAGTTCCTGATCCATCTGAAGAAGTATATCATCTTCTGGAACCACTCTAGAATCCTTGCCACCACAACTATGCTGCAAATAAGGAATTTATTATTAATACATTGGCTGTTTCCCACCAAGGTAGGGTGGCCCAAAAAAGAAAAACTTTCACCATCACTCACACCATCAATGTCTTGCCAGAGGCATGCTTACACTGCAATTATAAAACTACAACATTAACACCCATCCTTCAGAATGCAGGCACTGTACTTTCCATCTCCAACACTCAAGTCTGGCTGGTTACCCTGAATCCCTTCACAAATACTTCCCTGCTCACACTCCAACAGCTTGTCAAGTCCTAAAAACCATTTGTCTCCATTCGCTCCTATCTAACATGCTCACGCATGCATGCTGGAAATCCAAGCCCCTCGCACACAAAACCTCCTTTACCCCCTCCCACCAACCTTTCCTAGGCTGACCTCTACCCCACCTTCCCTCCACTACAGATTTATATACTCTTGAAGTCATTCTATTGTGTTCCAACCTCTCTCCATGTCCGAACCACCTCAGCAACCCCTCCCCAGCCCTCTAGATAATAGTTTTGGTAATCCTACACCTCCTCCTAATTTCCAAACTATGAATTCTCTGCATTATATTCACACTACACATTGCCCTCAGAAGTCCACCCATTCCCAACAGAAAGCGCACACAACCACCACGTGACTGCACTACCAAACACCCATCTGCTGTGCACAGCAACTCTGCCAAACACGTAAAATAATGGGGATCACAATTCTGCAAATCAACATCCATCACTTCTTCAACAACCATTACCTTCTTGAACTAGAACTCTGCAACCACAACCCAGACATTATCCTCTTAAATGAAACATCAGCCAGACCTGACCAGCACATAAAGATACGTGGGTACTCAACTCTTGAGAAATCCAGGGGACCCAACAGTGGGGTGGCCATCTTAGTGAAGCAGGGGCATGAATTCCGCAATATACATGTCGACGAGGACAACGTCCTAGCGGTCGAGGTGCCAACATCACACGGGAGACTCCTACTAGTCACAGGGTACTTCCCTCCTAGACAACCGTATATTGAATCCATTCCCTTACACCGACTTCTCAATAGAAATATCCCTACCATCCTAGCAGGGGACTTCAATGCCCACCACCCTGCTCTCTTCAATTGTGGAGCTGCCCAGCCCCAAGGTGACCACACGGGGAAACAACTATACCACATAATGGCCGCAAAAGACCTCACATTCCAAGGCCCATTCTTAAAGTCGTTCGTGGGCCTCCACCCAGGCACCCCAGACGTAGTCCTCACCAATAGAGACTGCAACTTATTCCACTGTAGAGTCTCCCCAGGCAGCAACGTCTGGTCAGATCACATCCCCGTGGTAATCAAGCTACAGTCCACTCCGTTCCAAACTCCCACCCTCCCCAAACCCAACCTGAAGATGCTAGGTTTCGACCCCTTTAGAGCCTTCTTAGGTAATGATCAAAGCATCTCTCTCAAAGACCAGCCCTGCAATGCAATAGACGGGGCAATCAACTCCCTCCATGCCAGAATCAAGGAGGCCACACAAGCTTTCTGAACACTAACATCGTCCAAGATCTACCAACAATACAAACCAACTAGGGAAATCAAAGACAGAATGAACAGGTACCAATCAGAATGCAGCAAACACTTCCTCATGGGGCAACCCTCCCAGGAAGTCCTACAAAGACTGAGAAGAGAGCTAGTCGCCCTAATAACCCAATATAAAAGAGATCTTTGGGATTATCTGGTGCGCCAAGCTAACCAGTATAAATACCACCCAGGCCAATTCTGGAGCAAGATCCGCAGACTACTAGGGGCCAACTACACTCCCACCCAACACCTCACTCACTCCTTCACCGATGAAGACGGCGAGGTAGTGACTACCCCACTTGATGACCCATTGGACCATGCCAAGTTGATGGGCGAAGTATGGGAGAACATTCTCTCACACAACGACAGCAGAAGATTTAACAACATCCACTACTAATGGTGGGATGAGAACCTAGAAGACTTTCATCCTATACCATCAATTGACACAACTACCCTTGAAGACGAACATCCCCTCACCAGACCAATCACGCTCAGAGAAGTGTCCCAAATCATAGGGCGACTGAGAAACACAGCTCCTGGCCCATCAGGCATAAGAGCTAAACAACTAAAGTACCTCCCCCGTAACTGCAAGATGTCTCTGGTGAATATCTACAATGCCATCTTGGCATCTGGTCACTTCCCAGAGGCTTTCAAGACAGCTAAGATGATCTTCATCACCAAACCAAACAAGGACAACCGCAACCCTGAGAACTACAGACCCATTTCCCTACTCGAAGTCACGGGCAAAACCTTCGAAAGAATAATCTCCAACAGACTCAACTACTACATGGGGTTCAACCACCTATTCTCTGAAAGGCAGTTCGGCTTCAGGTCCCGCCGCAGCACTCAGCATGCCATAAACATCATCTTTGATGCCGTGGCCAGCCTGAAGAAGCAAGGGAGCCTGGCCCTTATCGCCACCAGGGACGTGCACAAGGCCTTCGACAGCCTTTGGCACGACGGTCTCATTTACAAACTCGTAGACCTCCCTGATCACAACTGGACCTTTCTCAGGCTCATCTACAACTTCTTAACAGGAAGAAGAATCATCCCCACCTTCCACAGAGCAGAATCAACCCCCTTCACACCAACAACAGGAGTACCCCAAGGCTCTAGCCTCAGCCCCATCCTCTTCAACATATACGTCAACGACCTCCCCAACCTGAACATACCGACACCATCATCACCCAATTCGCAGACGATGTCATCCATGTTGTCTCCTCCACCCCTACAGCTGGTGCAAATAAGCACAGGAGAGCAATTGAGAAAATGAATGAAGAACTAAATAGAACAGCCAGGTGGGAGAAGAAATGGAGAATCACAACCAACCCAGACAAAGTCCTCATCAGCACCATCGGGTGCTTACCATCAACCATAGAAGACAAAGGGGGTATTTCCATCAGAGGCACCCGAATTGCTATTAGGAATCCAAACAAGATCCTAGGATACGAGATCGGCAGATTACTAAACTCTACAACTCACATAACCAAAAAAGTTAACCTAGCGAAAGCCCGCCTTGGCCAACTTTATCGATTCAAAGCAGCTCCTCCCCACATCAAACTACACCTGTACAAGATGATGATCAGACCTCTGCTGGAATACCCCTGTGTACCCATGTTGCTCACAACCAAAACCAACATACTAAAACTCCAAAGAGTCCAAAACAAAGCCCTCCGCTTCATCACAGACACCAGACTCAGAGACAGAATCAGGGCAGAGGACCTGCACATACAACAGAGAATCCCCGCAATCAATGTCCGGTTAGACAAACTTACTAAGAGACAACTTTATGACATGCAGGAACTCTATGTACCCAACAGAAAGAACCTTCCTCAACCAGTGAACACAACCAACTATACCATCACCACCCCTCTTCACAGATCCCAAAGAATGACCCTCCAACAAAGAGTTCGACGCTTCATCCACAAGAACTTCCCTCGACCGAAAATTTTAAGCGACCTCCCTGCAGAAGTAGAATGGATACCACCGGAACCATTCTATGTCCAGTAACACGGACTAACAATCCCCATCTCCGGTGTGACCCACCTCTATCAACCTACACCGCACAACAAACCTTGTTGCACCTACAACTACCCTCCAGCAGGACACCACCTCAGTCACTGCCTTGCTGGCCAACTCCAGATGAGCTACCATCCTCCATCAAATGCCCGGCAACCTTCGCCTTCCTTCCATCCTTACCCATCCTTCTTCCTCCCTCCCATCTTACCAAAGCTCTGGTCAGAACCATCGAATTGTCCTCAGAAACAGCATCTCCACTGCCTGCAGCCTTCTCCGTGTTGTAACATTTACCACCCATGCTTTGCACCCATGTAAGAGTGTTGGTATAACTATACTCTCATACATTCCCCTCTTTGCTTCTATGGACAAAATTCTTTGTCTCCACAGACTCCTCAGTGCACCACTCGCCTTTTTCCCCTCGTCAATTCTATGATTCACCTCATCTTTCATAGACCCATCTGCTGACACAACCATTCCTAAATACGTACAGTGGTCCCTCAATAATCGTCCTGCCTGAAAGTCGTCCATTTCGGAAATAGTCCTGTTTTTTCGTCAAAATATTGGCTCGGAAATGGTCTGGTAACTTGCTAATAGTCCTTCGTCCTGGACGCGTACTCACGGTCTGAGCCGCCTCGGCCTTTCCTTCCCAGCCAGTGTGCCATTGTTTACCAGTGAGCGACAGTCCCCTCACGTGCTCCAGCGAAATATTTCATAATATTTCATTTATTTTAGTGCTTGCAAGTTATTTAAGTGCTAAATAAGCTACCATGGCTCCAAAGAAAGCTCCTAGTGCCAAGCCTTTGGTAAAGAAGGTGAGAAATACGACTGAATTTAAGAAAAACATCATTGAACAATATGATAGTGGCGTACATGTGGGTGAACTGGCCAGGATGTATAACAAATCCCGTACAACCATATCTTCCATCATAGCCAAGAAAAAGGAAATCAAGGATGCTGTTGTTGCAAAGGGGGTAAATATGCTGACAAAAATGAGATCACCAGTACTTGAAGATGTTGAGAAGTTATTATTGGTGTGGATAAATGAGAAACAATTAGCAGGAGACAGTCTTATGACGTCACTTATTTGTGAAAAGGCTAGGCAGTTGCATGACGATTTGGTAAAGAAATTGCCTGCAACTAGCGATGATGCGAGTGAATTTAAGGCCAGCAAAGGCTGGTTTGAGAGATTTAAGAAGCGTACTGGCATACACAGTGTAGTAAGGCATGGTGAGGCTGCCAGTTCGAACCACAAGGCGGCTGAAAAATATGTGCATGAATTCAAGGAGTACATAAACAGTGAAGGACTGAAACCTGAACAAGTGTTCAATTGTGATGAAACAGGCCTCTTTTGGAAGAAAATGCCAAAGAGGACCTACATTACTCAGGAAGAAAAGGCGCTGCCAGGACACAAGCCTATGAAAGACAGGCTGA